AATGGCACTCAGTTGTATCGTAATCACTTAGAAGTCAATGCACTTCGAAACCTAAGACGTTTCTTTTATGATGGAATCATTCAACAAACAATTATGCTGACCTTTGATATCCATACCTTATAAGAAAATATACCAAAATAGGAGTATTGGGAGTTGAACAGTAGTACCGTGCTGATAGGATCTGCACTTGGGAAAAAGAAGAAACAAAGCTGAATTATTTCATCTTCTATGAAATGATAATTATTGTTCGTCCAAAGTTGGATAATTAGTTAGGGTTTGAAGCAGGTGAGACTTGAAATAGCTGACTGAAGCAAATTCGAATCGATGTTTTTTTTTAAGGAACGACAACTTTCAAAAGCAAGCAATCAGCTTGAACAGGAGAATTTTAAAGCTGAACAAGAACGGCTGGAGAAGTTGTACCACACAGCTGATCGTATTTCAAGATTCCTTTCACCTTTATTCTTTATATTCTTCTTTATTTATTACATCATTTTTGTGGCAAATGGTACTGAATTAGAATGCATTCAGAAGTGAATGTGATTTTCGTGTGAAATTTGCGATAACTCAAGAATCAATTTATTCACTGATCAATAATGAACTTAAAATGTTGCTTTCACATGTGAATAAAAATTAATATGAACACTCAATGGTGAGTGAAGAAATTCTGCAAATGAATTTGAAATTTGCTAATAAATGGGCAAATTGTGAAAGAAAGCCTGAATCGAGATCTCTGGTGAATTGAATTCAAACGGGAGAAATTTTCCAATCAGCATCAGTCAAGGTTTGTTTTGGTGATATGTGAAACAATATGGTTTGAAAAACAGACTGATTATGATTATTTGGAGTTGTTTGACTTGTACGCCGATTAAGGAGTTGCGAGAAACTGAATCAGTTGAGCAAACATAAACATCTAAAATGGTGATTATATGAAATTGACTGGAGAGATCAAAAATGGTATACGATATGATATGAAAAACGATTGACATCGTCTTTGAACATAATAGTTGTATTCACTAAAACATTCTCAAAGTGACTGTACAATTATCAGTCACATATTCAAGACAGTCATCTCTTATCTTTAAGAAATAATAATAAAGATTATTATTATTAGTGCTATTAGAAAAAAGGAAAAAGAAAAATAGAACATACCGTTTCGCATCCGGCAAATACTCATGCATGCCTCCGAAACCTATTGCGCAGTTGTACTCATAAATTTTGCGGTAAATGCGGTTAAGTTCTTCTATTCGATTACGTATTATTCACAAAAAATTACTCAATACCAATCCATACTTGATTTGAATCTCATTGTGTGAATTGTTCAGTGAAGCAACTCACGGACTATTTGCAAAACTCAAACGGATCTGTGAGCTTTGACTACCGATGAGAATTTTGGTACATTTAACGTCGAATAACTCACAAGAATACATTTTCGAAATCTGATTGAATTTGAATTGCATGATCGATTGAGAAAGGTGCGTATGAAAGAGCAAGTGAGAGATGAACATACGCGACGATACACATTCCAAACTGTAGATCTCGTCGAACTTGTTTTTCGTCCTTTTTTCCAGCCATTTCCCATCAGCACCACACGCAACGGTCAATGATGAACTTTCTTCTTCGACTATGTTAATAATCAATCCTGGAAGAATAATTCTTTAACAATGATCATCAGCTGAAGACTCTTCGCCAGTTTTGCAGTTCGTCAATTTTGTGTAAATGTCTCATAATGATAGAGTCACACCAAGTATACACATACCCGAATTACATTTAACAAAGTATTTGCATCCAGCCCTGATGTTTGGTTTGCATTTCGATGTTGTCATAACCGATTTGCGGTCATCACTTCTCAAATTCGGTTCCTTGCACAAATGATCGCCGCTGTAGTGCTCTGAAACAAGCAATTAGTTCAGCTGCACATAATGTGACAATTGTATTTCTGGGCAAATTTGAGCACTAGGCGGAGAATGGATGCGGAGGGGACGGTTGAGAGCGAAGGAATGAAATTCTTGAAATCAGTGGAATGTTATCTTGCCATTTCAAAGGCGGCTGTTTAAAAATGCAGTAGACACAAAGAGAGTAGGGCGATTTGATCGCGACTATAGACCGGATGAGTGACAACTAGAAAAATCAGGACTACTGATATATGAGATGGAAATAAAAGAATTCCAGCGATATCCAGCTGATGTGTGCCCTAAATCGCGTATAAATCGTATCGCTAAAAAACCTGGATGAACAGATGGTGTTGACGGAACGCACTCAACCGAGTTTATATCTCTAATGATCAAGTTCGTCCGTTTTTCTCGCCATTCACCGTCGCCGTAACAAACGACGCTTATGCGATCGGTTTTCATTTGCATGGCATTTATTTGCCAACCTGAAATCGTGCGCTGATATTTCAACGCGAATTCACAATAAGAAGATGCACCCTCCAAAAATTCTCATACACTTCACACAAACGGCTTCAAAACATCAATTCTCTCACATACCTTGAAGACATCTCATATCATACTGACAACCGGTTGGTTGC